TAAAATGAATGAATTAAAAGCCGCTATTTTTCAACTCCATTAGCAATGCCTTCACTCATGAGGTCGTAAACATTTTCTGTGAGAAGTGCCGATAGATTTGGATCTGTCTTAAATTTAGTGGTAAATGCTGTCAACTCTTTGACGGATTGTTCCCTCACTGCTAAGGCATCCGTCACTTGAGTCAACACTTGATTCAATTTGTCTTTCAAAATACTTTTATAGGAATCCATGAGTTTTTCGGTCATCACATTCCAGACTTCGCACTCTATGCGCCACTCATTCTCTTGAGTTTCCCATCGAGTGTCCGCTTCTTCACTGCTTTTCAAATAATGAAAAAATGTATTAATAAAAGACAAACACTTATATCTTGACTCAAGACATACTCATACAAGAGCTGAAACTCATTATTTCGGTTATTATTCACATCGATATACATATCAATAATTTTGACCGCTCTGTCCATCACATCCCGCAATTGGACCAATTCGTCGGCATTCAAAATAGTTTCAAAATCTGGTAGATTTCTAATACATTGAACACACATGTTATGGTACCGAAGATGATCCACAATATCAAAGCACTTCATCCTTAGCTTCAAATGACCGAATCGTTGCAAAACCAGTTGTTTGTCCTTCAGATCAAACAATTCCCGTTTCTCCGCAAAACGAGTCCTTATTTTCTTCAATTCATTCAATTGAAAGACAATAATATCCTGTCGTCTCTCCAAACCATCCATTCGTTCGTCCATTGAGTTAAACGAATCCATAAACTCTTTTAATTTGGCTTTTGATGACAAATACTTTTTCTCCGCTTCTTTGTTGGATCTAATCCTCAGATACTGTCGACTCTTATCACCGGATTTGTTGTCATCACTAAAGGTATCAAAGGGTGGTTTAGTGACCGCATCGCCGGCTTTTCGGTGTTTCACAAGACTCTTATCGTCACTCCATTTGCGGTAGACTTGGTTTTCAGCCGCCGTTCGGCTGAAGTACTGGTCATTAGACACGGATTGGCGATGCATTTGGTTGTCGCGTTCGCGGCGCCCACTAATCCGCTGTTCCGTCAGATCCGGTCTTCCCTTCACGTAATACCACGGATGGAGTGTCGGCGCTATCGATGGCTCACTTCTGTGGTAAGACACCGACGACCTAATGGTCTTCGGCTCACGATTCAGACCATCGCTTGATTGGCCACTTTTTAACGCACTTTTCTTCATCTGTCTGTCTGTGCGGTCACTGGTGTACGACTTCTGGAGATGGATGTGTTGATCAATCACCTGAAGAGACGGATGGCGTGATTGCAATGAGTGCTCATTTGGTGTCAAAACCAATCAAAACAACCATTTGTTTTACATTTGTTTTGATTTCGAGAAAACACTTTGAATTTCAATACAAAACAACGGTTTCTATGAAAACCAAAGTTTGCTTTCATTGGCTCTCAAAGTGTTGTTCGCGTTATTTATGGACGACATGTGATGTGAAGCACTGTTTGTTGACATCGATTGCAAAACACATTGTATTTCCCGATTTGAAGACCCGTTTTGGCCATCAATGCAAACGAGACACGCCTTGTGGGCAGTCGTGGCCAGAGGTCACACGTGTCGACCCGTAGGCGCTATACTGGCCATCAATACCAGCGCTGTTGTCACCGACCAGTCTTTGCAACGCCGACACTATAGGCCCTCAATCTGTGGTCAGCCAACGGCCGGCAGACAATCGTTGTGGTGGCGGAGGGTTTCGCCGGTCGTGTCGGACACCAATGGCCCCAATAGTGCGGTGTCTTTGATGCAGAAGCGGTTCATTAAGAAAGACTACGACAAAGTGGTGAAACTGATGCCCGAAACGGTTGAATACAAATACGGAGACTCAAAGTTCTTCGGCGAACACCAACTCGAAGACGAACCGTATCTGAAGCTCACCGACGATGAGATCGTGGAGTTGTCGCGCGTCAAACTCGAGAAAGACTATCCCAACAGACACTTCGATTTGATTGACATTAACGCCGAACCCTATCGTCAAGTACTGGCCAACAATGCGGACAACGAGAAGGGTTTCACAGACGTGGAAGTGATTGGCGATGCGGTCCACGAGAAGTCGTTGTGGTATTGGGTGGAGCGTCTGCTCCCGAAGCGTGTCGTACCGCCCGATGATTACAGTGCGGACGCGAACCACAATTTCCCGTCTGGTTATCGGCCGCAACCGCTAACGCGACCCGATTTGCCGTACTTTATAGCGCGGACGCGAAACAAACTGTTTCCTGTGTATCGTAAGTATGAGGTCTGGGGTCGCGATCGCAAGACCTATTGGCGGAACCGATGGGACGGACTCTACAATTCCTACCACAAAGAGCTGATTAAGAAATTATATGAAGTGAAATGGCCTAACAATGAACACACAGTTGTATTGACA